CATCCCGCCCTGCCTGCATCATCCTGCTCAGGAGGAGGACGATGCCGGCCGTCGCCCTGCGGAGACGCAGGCCAGCCCCGCTGCGGTCACCCACCCGGGGCAGGGCGGCAGGGAGTGCGATGCAGCCCAGGCTTGGTTCCAGGCACTGTGTTAGCAGGGCTCTAGTCCACGCATTAGTCTCCTCCTCGCACTACGCAGCATTTAGATACTGCAGCGCTTTTACAGGGTCACGCTAACCCCTGCTGTAAACTGTTTACAACCCAGTTTTGTCCTAGGCTTTTGAGGTAAAACACATACACATCGGCTGTGCTGGTGGGGTTTCTGAAAGCTGATCAAGTGCCGATGACAGGGGCTCCAACCACAGCAGAGCCGGAGGAGGAGCCAGCTGCAGAGTCTAATCCCAGTAGGAGCTGCAGCATCCCTGCTCCTCTCCCGGGCTGAAAACGGCTCACAGGAGCAAACACCCTGCTCCGCAGATTGCCCCCACGGAATCAGATGAAGATTGCCTCCTCGAGCTCTTAACCAGCCTTGGAGAAGTCCAGCACTGCGAACATGCAGATGAGAAAGCTAGGGAAAGGGAAATCCTTTCTGTCCCAGAACAGTGCCACTGGGGGGAGAGCAGGCTCTGCTATAAATGCCATCGTCATCTGCCCGCTGCAGTCTGATGGAACGAGGCGAAAGGCTTGCCCTAATTCACTGCAAACGGGGTTTCCCTCCATCACCGGGAGCCTCCCCCATCGCTCAGGCTTGAGCACTGGAGAGCAGTGGGCAAATCTGCTATTGCAGGTGCACCTGAAGATCTCTGCAGTGCTAGAGGGCAGAACTGGTCCAGCCATGGCTCGGCCAACCCCTCCGCGGGACCCCGGTCAAGGCTTTTCTCTACGCTTCAGTTCACCACGCAGAACACATGGGACAACCCTCACCAGGTGCCTGGGCGCTAACTGTAACACACGTTGGGAAGGGTAAGGGGTAGAGCGCTGCTACAGCCTCCCCTCCCTCACACATCGCGTTGACTTCTGATGTCTCCCTTGGGGTGAAAGGAGATGGAGTCCCACACCTGCAGCTGCTGCTCTGGGGTGCACGGGAGGGATGGTGGGGATGCCTTGTAAGCAGCCGTGAAGCAAAAGGAGGTGCCCGCACCGCACAGGGCAGAGGCAGTAGAAGAGGGGGCCCCAACACTGCTTGTGCTAAACCCCTTTGAGACCTGGGGAACCCTCTTCCCAGAAAAGCCTCGAGGGAACAAACCCACCCAGCACCCTGGTGACCAAGCACGTGGGCCAAAATACCTTCATCGCCCCTATAACCTTGACCCTGCAACTTTGAACACTCAGTAACTCCAGAAATCCTTCAAGCTCTTCAAGTTTCTCTCTGAAATAGCCTGTCCCCAGCCCATCTACCGTCCCCCCGTTTAACAAGCATTCCCTCGTCCTCACCTCCCGCACCTCTCACCCGCCTCTCCCAGCAGAGACCAGCCTGAACTCTCCCATTCTCCTGACTCACCCCCAGAATGCTACGTCCTCATTTTACAAGATGCCCTGGGGTTCACAGGGTTTGATGTCCCAGAGACAGACTTCTATAGAGCTCAAAGAACGAATCAAAAGCCCCAGAGCAGCAGCCTGAAGGCCCAGGTAGCTCCTGAGTGCCAGGCTGTGGCAGCAGCTTGCAGGGAACTCCAGTGGGACTCCTGAGCACCAGTTTCCATGGCTTTGTCCTGCCCATTTACTTACATCATGCAACAAAAGAATAAGCCCTGTCCCCTTCGACCTCAAATCTCCAGAACAAGGCAGGCACGGAGGATCCAGTCATTTGTAGGAACTGCCACCGTCTTCCAAGGCCCTGGACAGACATTGGCAACTTCTGCTCAGGATGGTCCCAGCAAACACCCACATCACACCCCACATGCCTACAGCCCAGATTCAGGAACCACCTGCCTAGAAGACAGAGGTGGCTCAGCCCAGGCTGGCAGCGTTGCCAGCTGCAGAGGAAAGGGGAAGGCTCAGCATCCAGGAGCCAGGGAACCCTGCCAGCAGTCAGCTCCTGCAATGGTACCAAGGTCTCCATTTTACACAGCAACTTGGAGGAGGACCAGTTCCTTCCATCGGATCCCACCTGAGCAGCAGGAAAAGGACATTGTTTCACTTGTTCCCAGGCTGAAGAGCTTGTCCCTGGCCATTTCCTACCCTCCAAGGTGGGAATGTGTTGCTGAGTGAGACTCAGCTCACCACCATTAAGTGTAGGTCTAGGCATGTGATGCCAACAGGGAGCCAGGGCTCAGCCAGCCCGCTGCAGCCAGCTCTGGCCAGTAGCTCTTGCTACTTGCCCTGCTGGGACAAGCTGAGCAGCACCTGAAGTCTTGCATGGCTCCGAGGTACAGTGACCCAATGCATGTCAAGATGAGGCACCTTCAGGCAGGACAGAGCTCGTTTCCCATTTTCCAGTCCCCAGACATCTCCTGCAGTTCCCTGCCAGCCCTGGCCAACGGGCCCTTACAGCCAGGATTCAGCCACGCTCCCGGGACGCTCAGCAATGCTGGCAGCAGCAGTTGGTCCTGATGGAAAGGAGAACATCACACTGCCAGCACGGCCTTACACGGGCGCTGTGGGGGAGCAGGAACACCCTCCCC